CAGATGATTAAAAATTTGCCTACTTTTATAAATTAGTGAATTTTGCGTCAATGCAGTCTTGGGTACAGGAAGCTGAATTTTAAGAAGTTGCCTAGTTGGATAAGTTCTTGGATATTCTAACTCATCATAATGTTTTTTGTGCATAAGGCAAGCAGTTTCCATGATAAATATACAGCATACTGTAAGTATTTTATGTTTTAAAAATAGTGGCTTGCAATGCTCCCAATATCCAACCCCACACAAATAGCGCACTGCTCTCTTTTGAATGACAAAAACAGAATCAAACAATTTATTAGAACAGTTACCCCAAAATGCAATGCCATACCTGATATGAGATTCAACCAACGAGAAATAAACCAACTTAGCAGTATTCAAACCAAGTTCATTTGACGCTATTCTTACAGCATAGCAACCACTTGCCAATCGTTTGTTTAGATTTGTAACGTGCTCATTAAACTTAAGTTGAGTATCAACATGAACACCAAGAAATTTACAGCTAGTTTTATTTTCAATTGTGTGTGTGTCTAATAATAAATCATCAAAAAAAAGTTTAAATGTCAATATGTTGGTTTTCTTAGAGTTAAAACAAAGCAAGTTAGAGTCACACCACCTCTTTACAAGATTTAGGTCTTCAGAAATAATCTTTTTCAACTCTTCAATATTTTTTCCATTCCAGGACAGAATAATGTCATCAGCGAATGATGTTAGTTTAGCTCTAATGGGGAGGTGATTAATATCATTTAAATAAAGTAAAAACAATATTGGTCCCAACACAGATCCTTGTGGAACACCATTGGTCACAGCCAAGTTTGATGACTGAGTATCACCAATCTTAACAAATTGTTCTCTTCCCGAGAAATAAGATTCAAACCATGAGTATGAGGTTCCTCCGAAGCCATAAATTTCTAGTTTTTTAAGCATTATTTTATGATTTACGCAATCAAAGGCTTTAGAGAAATCACAAAACACAACGGCGACAAGCTCACTTTCATTAAGACTGACGAATAAGTACCTGTTCCAAAAGATTAAACATTGCATCATGGGTGCCCTTTAATGGTTGGAATCCAAATTGAGTGTCACTTATTATGTTGTGTTTTGAAAAATATTTTAACATTCTTTCTTTAACTAACTTTTCAACTATTTTTGACAACATCGAGAGAAGTGATATTGGTCGATAATTACATGGGTTGTCCAATTCGCCACCCTTATAAAGAGGCAACACAATAGCTTTTTTCAGGCAGTCTGGAAATACTCCTGTTAAAAATGAAATATTAATACATTCAGACAAGACATATAATGCATTATCAGGCAAGTTTCTAAGCAAATTTATTGAAACATTATTGTGCCCACTGGATTTATTGTTTTTTATTCCTCTAAAGATTTCATTAAGTTCTAATACGTTTGTAGTTTCCAGTACAAATGTGTCATTTATTTTAACATCCAATAAATAAAAACCAGGATCCACATTACTTTTCAAGTTTTGTTGTAAAGTATCAGCAACATTACAGTAGAAGTTGTTGAGAATATTGGGATCTAATTTAACATCTGTTTGAAGAACTGAGTTTTTACCAGTTAACTGATTAATTATTTTCCAGTTTTCTTTGCTGGCATTTTTGGAGGAGTTTATTCTATTCTGATAAAACTTTTCCTTAGCTGCTTTTAAAACACTTTTGTAAATTTTTCTATATCTGCAGAAATAACTTATTATTATTCTCGGAAACTTTCCGGGAATATTGGAAAGTTTCGGGAACTTATGGATATATTGTTTTTTTTTTTAATTAATAGCTAAATCAGACAAATCGTAGTAAGCCTTATTTACTTATTATTGTAGTATACTGATTATAGACTATAAACCAAAAAAACACCAATTTTTTTCTGTAAGATCAGCTAAAAATTAAACTATGTGGTATAAGGTATAGGTTTCCTTACCATCAAGTACATGTGGACAGGCTCGAATATGTTCAACGGCGATTCCTAAAGTATCTAAGTTTCAAAAAGGATGGAATTTACCCTCCAAGAGGATTTGACCACCAGTTGCTACTCAGCAAGTTCAACTTCCTCTCACTTAGAGATGTAAAAAAACGGTTTTTTTTCAGATTTGAAAAAAAACATTGAAAAAAAACCAGAAAAAAAACGTTTTTTTTGTTTTTTTTTCTAAATGATTCAAAATGTAAAAAAACAGTTTTTTTTCAGATTTGAAAAAAAAAACATGAAAAAAAACTAGAAAAAAAACAAGTTTTAGTGTTTTTTCTCAAAATAATTCAATTTTTAAACTTCGTGAGTATCTCCAACCTCATCTTTAAGTGAAAAAAAACGGACATTTGACGACCCTAGGAGACGTAGTTACAGTCTGAAAATTCTTCATACAGCGAAAGTGTCTTATATCAATGATGTTCTGTTCTAGTATGTATGTTATATGAATATGATGAATGTATGATCTAATATAATAGTTCATTCATGGATGTACCATGTACCTGACCTGAAAACATGTTTCATTTATATAAGAATAGGTGTATTTCTGCAGAAATCACAAACCAGTCAGAGTGAATTTCATTGGTTGAAATTAGTTTTCTCACTGTTTCTGACTGTTTTCAACCAATGGAATTTGCTCTGACTGGTTTGTGATTTCTGCAGAAACAGACCCAATATTGTTCCTATGTTATTTCTATATAGGTGGTTAGATATGGGTAGCATGAGTAGCATGTGCTAGATCTCGCCACCCTACTTATTTCCAATTTGTATGGGTATTTTTTTGGAAGATGTAAATAAAGTCATATTATTATTATTATCATTATTATTATATAGAATTAGGCAAAATTTTACGTTTTATCCATATTTCACTGCTTAAAAACCAATTTTTTGTCCCAAGAAAAGTTTAATTGGCAAAAAAAGTAAAAAATGCGCATATGGTGCTAAGTTTAGAAAAAAAACACAAAATCTGAAAAAAAACCATTTGAAAAAAAACCATGAAAAAAAACTTGAAAAAAAAACAAAAAAAACGGATTGTTTTTTTTCACGTTACATCTCTACTCTCACTTCAACAGAGTACAATTTTAGCAAGTCAACTCTTTCTTTTTAAATTATGTAACAACCTGGTGGACTCTCCAGATCTTCTAAACAGCCTTAATTTTTCTTTACCAGTACTCAACACACGTTCCCACCGCAAATTCTATTTGGAAAATCGCCCCACATATCTTGCCAGAAATGAGCCAATCTATCGAGCCTGCTCATACTTCAATCACCTGCAGAACAGTATCGATATAGACTTATTTGTAGGTTCAGTAAACTCTTTTAAAAAAAATATCTTGCCAGTGGTTCGCAATTTGTGATAATGTATTTGCTGTGATAATTGTTTACTCTTGTCCTGGCCGAAGTATGGGAGGGTGACTATTTCTATCTCTATTTTTATTTCCTATTTTAACTGAGTAAACAATGCTAGTTTTTCTCATTATTTTTATTTTTATTGTTGTTTTTAGTTTCATAGTTGTTTTTATTTTTGTTTTAAGCTTATTATTGGTTTTCTGGATCTTATGTGTGATATAATCTTAGCTTTTAAATTTTCATATTTTTGTTCGCTCTTAAGTGCACTAATTGTCTCATTATTGGGAGTATGTATTCCTGTTAGACAATAAAGAATTGAATTGAATTGAATTGATAACTACTTTTATGGACGGTTGAATAAGACTTTGAAGGAATAGCTGAAAGGATTGACCCAATCCCTCAGCTCTTTATTTTTTATCTTACTTCAATGAAGATTATTTTAAAAAAAGACAAATTGTAGGTACATCAGCTGGTTATTGGGTAAATCGGATCAGCGCTTGGACTGGGCTACGTTATCCACATAAATTGAAATGACGTCACTGAGACCTTGTATTCGCAATAATCTCGCATTTTTATAAAATTCTTCTGGAAAGTTCCAGGAAATATTCTCGAAAGTTCTCGGAAATATTCTTTTGAGAGATCTTGATTGAAAGTTTCCGGGAATATTCTCATTCAGGAGAACGTTTCAATTTTTTATCGGCGAATATTCTCGGAAATTTCCCAATGTTCGCGAATATTTGCATGGGAATATTCTCGACTCACATCACTAGGTACAATAATACAAATAATAGGAATATAGGGTAAATAATATATCTAAACATTTAATTATGAGTTTGAAATCACGCCAAAAAATATATTAAAGCCTTATGTTTGAAAATTTGGAAAATGTGTGGTGATCATAAGCAATGATACCCTCAAGGATACCCTTAACATGTCAACAATTGGGTACTTTGGTACTTTACCTTACTTGAAGCAAAAATTTTCTGGCGCTTTTTAATAACACCTAAAATTTCAAATTTAAACCATGCGTAAATGTCACATAAAAGTTACCTATTGTTCCAAATGTGGCCAATGACCCTGTCCCTCTACCTAATACCCTTCTATGTATTGTAGATTCCAAAATTAAAATTGAATGTATTCTTTTCTACATAAAGCCGAGTTTTGAACTATTGAAAAATTGGGGACTTGTGTAACTTATTGAAACCTGTTTTGCGGAATATATTTATTTTGCCCAAAAACGGTATCGGTAAGGTTACTTAACAGCCAGATGTTTCGAGTTTCTTTGCGAGTTATTTGTTGAACATGAATGCACAGTTAATTCGTTTATTTGTATTTTGGAGCCTCAGAATCTGATTATATGAATTAAAACTGGGTCTATGATAGGGAGTGACCATTGTATTGTATGTAAACAGTTTACTTATTTTGAAAATAAAGTAGGAGCCGCTCTAGTTAATTACTTGTTTATGATTTTTGCAGTAAAAAAAATTGGCAGAGAGCATTAAATACCCAAATGTTTTTACTTCTTACTAAAAACTTTATAGTTTCAATTTTCAATGCCCGACTGTGAATAATTGGTTTGTTTTCCATCATAAACAAACCTACACAATGTTCAGCAGCTCCTAATAATTTATATAGTTACAGCACTATTTAACTATACTATAAATAAATTAGGTAGATACCTGTTTTCCGGCTCGGGGCAAAGTTTCCATGTTAGTCCCATTGACCACTGGTGCTTTTTCGTTGACCCCGCCGCCATGATTCGGAGCGCTCCCATTTCCAAGAGCCATCGCCTCTATTTTGTTATTAAAATCGCAACAACACAAACACTAAACATTAATTTCTCGAACACTATCGCATTTTTTTCCTTGAATAGCGAAATTCACACTACTGCGGTTCTACACCCGTCGAAAATCGGATTTACAATGAATTTTTTTTTTCCTTTGGACCCCCACCGATTTTGTTCGGAGTTCCGAATACATACGAGCAATACAGTGTTGCCAACTGAGTAAACTTAAAATTTAAATTAAAATCTATTGATTTTTGAGTCATTTTTCGTTTTAAAAACATTATTATTTACGTAATTTGTGGCTCGGATATTATTTTTTTGTTTGATGATTCAAGGATTAATAAAAGATTTCCTAGAAAACGTTATAAGTGAGGCAACGTTGCTACAACCTAGTCATCGTGTACGGTTTCCAAAGCTGGTTAAGATTTCGACAGCAACATGGGTGTATTATTAAATGCTCGGAACACACTTTATTGTTCGAAACATGTATGCTCATGTAAACGAGCAAACACATCAACTAATCAACTTGTTTATTCATATTTTATTTATGCTCGTACCTCATTTATGCAATAGTTGAATAGTTTTAAGTAAAAACGAACAAATTAATGCAAATTATGAATAAATTATGATGGAGCTATAAAAGGCCTGTGTAGTTCAAATCTTAAGCCCCCGATCCCGCCAAAAAACGGTGTTTGCACATTGGAGAATATATCTCTATTCGTTACAGAGTCCCAGGCCTGTAGTAGTAGTGTGTAGCATCCTTGCAGACACCCTACGTCAAGGGGAAAAACGACACGCTGCTTACGTCATCACCGGTGCTTTGGCATGGTGGGGTACTTGAGATTTGAACCACACAGACCTTATGAGGATAGGCAGTCTGTAATAGTAGTGGTTGGTTTTTTTGCTCCCAAAATTCTGCTCCAAATTCTTATAAAAACCTTTCGAATTTTTCGAACAATAAAATGAAAACCACTCACACTGATTTTATGAATCGAAAGTGCTACGCTACATTTCCAAGTTTGTCAGTGTGACAGTGACGATGGTACATACATAACCTCAGAAAAAGCAAAATTAAAAACAACATTTCACTGAACACTTTCATACATAAGAAAACAAATTTCCTTTTCCTAGATTATCCAGTAAAATGACTTTCCTAAAATCCTGGGAAGAATTTGAAAAGGCGGCGGAAAAGTTGTACCTTCAGGATCCATCGAAAGTGCGCTACACAATGAAATACGTCCATTCGAAGAGCCATTTAGTTTTGAAAATGACTGATAACTCTGTGGTAAGTTTTTCTTTAAATAAATGAAATTGTTTATTAATTATAAAAGTGCAATTTTACTTCAATTATGTATGCCTTTTCAGTGCCTTCAATTCGAAACGGAAATAGCCCAAGACGTTAGGAAAATAGACAAGTTTATCAACAATTTAGTAAGGCATATGGTATCAAAAGAATAGGTTTTAAAAAGGACATTATTATTTTATAATAATTTGTTTTTCTTATTTTTATTGACTGCCCTTTTTTTTTTATAAATAAATAACAATGTTAAGGACATCTTTTCAATTTTTATTTTAAAGGCATCCTCAGAAATTTCCTATGTTTATTTCAGTATTTGATGTCCAAGATAGTAGAATATTTTCATTGAACTAAGATCAACATCACTGATTTTCAACAATATTAAAGTTTTGCTACAAAGTTTCGCAATCATTCACTCACTACTCTGTATTCTCAAAAAGGTGGAGACTTTAAACAATTTCTACATTATAATCACAATAACAGTGTAATGGTGAACATTAAAGTATCAAATATGAAGAACATAAGTAGATACAGGGTGTCCCACAAGGTTTTAGTCAGGTTAACTTTGGACGAATCATCAAATGTTCCACTTTGTGATTTTTTATCATTTCCTTTAACAAATATGGCTTTGCCTTTGCCAATTTTGGAAGCGTTCCAAAGTTACCACCTGTGGGTCACTATGTAGATCAAGCTTGGTTATATAGATACCTACATATATCTTTGATCATACTGCTCAAAAAATTGATTTTTGCATTAGGAAATTCTGTTAAAGATAAACCTCAGTAAAAAAGAATTTTCTCAAAAGAAAACGACTAAGTATGCATACAATGCATATCTCATGAGAGCTGGTCTGAGTTCTGACCTCTATGTCACTGACAAACAAGAGGTAAATGGGCAGTGGAACAATTTTATAAATACTTTTTGTACTTTGTTTAATCATAGCTTCCCACCAAAATTATTAACTTAAAAAAAGCATTTCTATAAAAACAATCAGCAAATCACAGATATCAAGCCTCAATTTGACATCCTTGTCTCTTGTGTTAACAAGAAGTGTTTTTGATTGATTGACTGATGTATATGGCAGCAAGGCAAGGTTCAGTGATTCCCTGATATTGCAGCTAATTAGGTTATTGTATCCCGTAAGTAAATTTCTGCTAAAGCAGGTTTGACACCTTTGTCAGGTGCAATATCATCTTTATTGGCGTTTCCAGGGCTGGGACTATGTAAGTAAAGAATATGTGTTAATATGTATATGTATGTGATGTGTATACAGGGCGTACCATTTAAAACGAAACAGGCTAAATATCTGATGCCACGTTTATTTTGTTTTAAATCGCTCGTACACATAATTTAATTTCCAAAGGGGCAAGTTTTTTGCAATCATTTTTAGCACTTCAATTTTAACCCTCTAGGCGGGGTGAGACCAACCCTTACTATGTCAAATGGAACGAGGCGTCGAGTGATACCTTTTTCAAAACAGCGTTCAATTCTCTTCCATTTGATGTCATTTGAAAAAAAATTGAATGCTCTTTTAAAACAGGTATCATTCGATCCCCTGTTTCATTTGGACTGGTAAGGGTTGTTTTGTTAGTGCTGAAAATATTTCAAACACTCACACAATAAAATAACGTGTACGAGCAATTTTTAAAAAAATAAAAGTTACATCAGATATTAAGCCTGTTTCGTTTTAAATGGTATACCCTGTATATGAGGTACCTGGCCCAAATAAAGCCATGTACAGGGTTATTGGTTATGAATGTCACCCTCTATCTTTTTTATTTGACATTTTAGAAAAAAGTGTCCCAAATAAAAAATTTATGGTTGAAATAATTTTTTTTGAAAAACTCACTTTTGCATATACAGGGTGTTTCAAAAAATCTGGTAGTGCTCCAACTTTCTTATTTTAAATTGAATACCCTGTATATTATTTGATATTCGGATTCTACATCAAATTCTGAGCAGATTTCATGTGATATACCCTATACCTAAGTTCAACTGTTTTGAAAATATTGACAGTTGAAAATTGACTTTTTTGCAAATTTGACAGGCTGTAATAAAACCTAAACGGTTAACTTTTGAGCAAAACCGATTTTACATTTTTTTCTAATATTTCACTTTGAATTTAACCGAAGATTAAATTTAATTGGAATTTTCAATCATGTATTAAATTCAAAGTTGATGTCAAATATTGGTGTCAACTGATAGTTTATAAAAATCTGAGAATGTAAGATCGGTTTTGCTCTAAAATTAACCGTTTAGGATTTACAGCCTGTCAAATTTTCAAAAAAATCAATTTCCAAGTGTCAATATTTCCGAAACAGTTGAATTTAGATATAGGGTATATCACATGAAATCTGCTCAGTACTCCCAATATCCAATAATATACAGGGTATTCTATTTGAAATAAGAAATTTGGAGCACGACCAGCTTTTCTGAAACACCCTGTATATGCGAAAGTGAGTTTTTCGAAAAAAATAACTTCAACCATAAAATTTTTATTTGGGACACTTTTTTCTAAAATGTCAAATAAAAAAGATAGAGGGGGGTGACATTTATAACCAATAACCCTGTACCTAATAAGCAGTGTTGCCAGATCTCACGATTATTGGTAAGATTACACGATTTTGGTCAGAATTTCACGATCTCACGAATGAGGTAGCAATTCTTACGAATTCTGTCTGTAGTAATACAAATCAGTAAGTAATCAAATATAATGTTTAATCGAAAGTGATCAAAATAAAAATCTACTATACAATGTTTAGTTATGCTACGCCGCTCCTGGTACATGCGCGCCCAAGAACATTTCAAGGAGAATACACACTCTAAGGAGTTATGGTAATCGCCGCCATATTGGTGGCCATCATTGCCGACGTTATAACTAAGTCGTCAGCTGTGTGAAAAGCCTACGTCAAGGCGAGAAATAACATGCTGCCTGCGTCACAACTGCTATTTTGGCTCGAGGGGGGATTTGTTACATACAGGCCTTATGAGGATAGGCCATCCTGTAGTAGTAGTGTGTATCATCCTTCATCCTTGAGAACATTTAACTTAAGGGTATTGAATGCGCCGTTTAAAATATATTGTAACGCACGTCAAACTATACGACTCCCAACAAGTTAATGCTAATAAAGATGCGAGGTTTATCGCGATTATTGCATTGGGCTACTGTTGGGCCGGTTGGCCTTGGATCCTTCATGATAGAGATAGCGATTTAAAATTTATCGCAAATCAGGCGGAGGAAAGAGCCATATAGGGTTTGCTGCGGGTATAACAGAGACAGGCAAAATGACAAGAAGAATTAAGTAAATTTCTACAAAAAAAAACTAGATGATTTTTGGGATTCTGGTTTGTGCTATTGTATTGCTAACACACATAAGATTGGCGCTAAATAAAAAAGACACCATAAATTGATTAATTTTCTCGTTTTTTTCCAGTTTAAATTACATTTTTGTAATTTTTCGAGAACTCGTTTCTATTACCGGATTTCTAAAAAGATAGCGCCATTCTTCCCTATATTATAAATCGAATGCAAAAAAGAAATTTGATATAACTTCAACTGCTAAAAAGTTATGTTGAAACTAAGAACGCAAGGCATTCCTTGTTTCATTCATCTCATTCCCACTAAGGAGTATTAATAGAGGGGGAAGAATAGATAGACTGCGTTAGGTGCTTCGCGCAATATTTTGGCATCGAGGCGCATTCAATCCCCTTAATAGGATTGCTCATTGAGCTGAAAGTGCCTGCCAAGTCTACGAAACCCCACGACTTGTGACGTCAGCTGCAGACCTCAACTCTTGGCAGAAAATGCATTATCCGAGTCCAAAAAGCCAATTCATAAACGTTGAAATTATCATTTCTAAATTTAAAATCGATGAAAAAATGAAACCATAAGCACAACCTGAATCGTAAGCAATCCAACAAGGTTTGCGGTATCAACAGCTGATAGTGGTGACGTCACTCGCAGACCAGCTGCCGACTCGAGATTAGGGAGCGTACGCCTTATTAGGATGAGCAATCCTGCGGATAGTGAAACCGAGGTTCAGCTCTCCGAAATACCTGCTAAAAACGGAAAAAAAACAAGAATACAAGATTTAATAATAAAATGTTTCATTTTTTATGGATGCAAAATCATGTTTACTTTATCAAGAATCTATAAAAGAACATTATTGTGCTTTATTTTCTTATAATATTAAGCAATTTTTAAGGTGTTTTCTCGCCGTGGAACTGGTTCGATCCGGTTCAATTAGGTTCGAACCTATGAATTCTTGCGTTGAACCAGTGACGTCACATTGAATCTGGTTCAAGAAAGTTCGAACCGGACTCCTTGTTCTCCGTTGACATAAGACACTGCAAAAGACTGTAGTTCAAACCTTCCATTTTCTCGCGTTCACAAGTGATGACGTCATCTATAAATTGGTTTTAACCGTAGTTCGAACCATTCGCCCTGCGAGAAAACGCCTTTAGTCTCACGATTTCTCACGATTTTTCTTTCTCGATACTCACGAATTTTTTTTTATTTCATCTGGCAACAGTGCTAATAAGACAGTGCTCTTTATTGCTTAATATGTATTGAATCCCATTTTCAAAAATTATAATATACTCCTGGACAAAATTATCGCATCACTGCTTATGGTGGTGCTTATGTGCAGTGGTGCGATAATTTTGTCCAGGAGTATATTTTAAAAAAAGAAATCTATAATAGAGGTTGAAGAAAAAACTAAACACAAAACTTGTAGATTAACCTGAGTATTACCTTCCTAAATTATTTTCCAGTATACAGGGTGGCCCAATAAGTAATGGTGACAAAGTTATATTTTTTTAAATGACTTTCCGTATATTATGGACATCTCTGGATTTTGCGGAAAATTATAGACATTTCATGTACAAATGTCATATACCTATCTGCATCTGTTTCGGAAATATTGACAGTTGAAAATTGACCTTTCTGCATCTTTGACAGACTGTCAAACCTAAACGGTTAATTTTAGAGGAAAACGGATTTTACTATCTTAGATTTTCATAAGTTATCATTTGACACCAACTCTGGATTTATTCGAAGATTAATAAATTAGGCAAAATTTTTGATCATGGATTATATTCAATATTGGTGTGAAATGATAGTTTATGAAATACTAAGATGGAAATGTGAAATCCGTTTTCTTGTAAAATTAATCGTTCAGGTTTTACAGTCTGTCAAAGATGCAAAAAAGTCAGTTTTCAACTGTCAATATTTCCGAAATAGTTGAAGATAAAGTCTGTT